AGATAAGAGCTGTCCTTGAAAAAGAGCCGTTTCTGTCAGAGCTCTCTCAGCCCCACCTGCCTCACGGGGTGTCTGTTGTGGGGAGGGGGAGGGAAAGGAGTTTGTAAGCCGATCTGAGACTCCCTTGGGTAGTGAAGGGCGGAGTATAAATCCAGTATCTTCTTCTTCCTCCTCCACTTGCACCTGGCTGGATGCCCTTGGGCAAGCCGTAGTTCAGATAAGAGCTGTCCTTGAAAAAGAGCCGTTTCTGTCAGAGCTCTCTCAGCCCCACCTGCCTCACGGGGTGTCTGTTGTGGGGAGGGGGAGGGAAAGGAGTCTGTAAGCCGCTCTGAGACTCCTTCGCATAATGAAGGGCGGGGTATAAATCCAATCTATTCTTCTTCTCTTCTCAATACTCCTTACAGTTCTGGTCACTGTATCTCCAAAAGGACATCACAGAGCTGGGGAAAGCACAGAGGAGGGCAACCAAGATGGTTCCGAGGGTGGGAGCACCTTCCCTAGAAGGAAAGGCTGAAGGGTCGGGGACTCTTCCGTTTGGAAAAGAGATAACTGGGGGGCGGGGGGGACAGGAGAGAGGTTTATAGAATTGTGCATGGAGTTGAGAGAGTTGAACCAGAGAACTTTTCCTCCCTCTCCCAAAAGACTAGAACTCAAGGGCATCCAATGAAACAGGTGGGCAGTAGGTTCAGGGCGGGCAAAAGGAAAGACTACTTTACACAGGGAGGGATTCAAATGTGGGATTCGCTGCCAGAGGATAGAGCGATGGCCACAGGAATAAACAGCTTTAAAGGGGGATTAGATAGATTCATAGAGGATAACTATCAAAAGCTACTAGCCCTGGTGACTGAGGGGAAACTCCACATTCAGAGGCACTAAGCCTCTGGATCCCAGAGCCAGGAGGCAGCATCAGGGGAAGGCCACGGCCTCTCTGCCCTGTTGTCGGCCCTCCAGAGGAACTGGTTGGCCCCTGTGTGAGACAGGATGCTGGACTAGATGGACCCTCACTGGCCTGATCCAGCAGGGCTCGTCTGAGGTTCTTTTGAAGGCCTCGGTCTCTCTGCCCTGTTGCTGGCCCTCCAGAGGAACTGGCTGGCCACTGTGTGAGGCAGGATGCTGGACTAGATGGACCCTCACTGGCCTGATCCAGCAGGGCTCTTCTGAGGTTCTTTTGAAGGCCTCGGTCTCTCTGCCCTGTTGCTGGCCCTCCAGAGGAACTGGCTGGCCACTGTGTGAGGCAGGATGCTGGACTAGATGGACCCTCACTGGCCTGATCCAGCAGGGCTCTTCTGAGGTTCTTTTGAAGGCCTCGGTCTCTCTGCCCTGTTGCTAGCCCTCTAGAGGAACTGGTTGGCCACTGTGTGAGACAGGATGCTGGACTAGATGGACCCTCACTGGTCTCATCCAGCAGGGCTCTTCTGATGTTCTCATCAGGGGAAGGCCTCGGCCTCCCTGCCCTGTCGTTGGCCTTCCAGAGGCACTGGTTGGCCCCTGTGTGAGCCTGGATGCTGGGCTAGAGGACCCTCACTGGCCTGATCCAGCAGGGCTCTTCTGATGTTCTTATGAAGGCCTGGGCCTCTCTGCCCTGTTGTTCGCCCTTCAGAGGTATGGGTTGGCCACTGTGTGAGACGGGATGCTGGACTAGATGGACCCTCACTGGTCTGATCCAGCAGGGCTCTTCTGAGGCTCTTATGAAGCCCTCAGCCTCTCTGTCCTGTTGTTGGCCCTCCAGAGGATCTGGTTGGCCACTGGGTGAGACAGGATGCTGGACTGGATGGACCCTCACTGGTCTGATCCAGCAGGGCTCTTCTGATGTTCTTATGAAGGCCTCGGCCTCTCTGCCCTGTTGCTGGCCCTCCAGAGGAACTGGTCAGGTAGCCCTGTCATGGATCTAGAATGTGGAGGGGTGCCCTCCTCCTTGTTCTCAGCTCTTCCTTGTCCAGCTACTGTGCGCTATCTCTGGCTTGACCTTGTAGTCCCCAGCTGCATTTACTCTGCTGGGAAAGTAACGGCTTTTCGCTGTGCCCGCTTGCTTTTGCCGCGGGCGCGAGAACTATAATCATTGGCTTCAGCTCCATGGGGGGGATGTTTGATTTCAGTATAAGTCAGAGGCCCTTATACTAACAGCCAGCCATTCCTGACACAAGCTGTATACATGTTCTTTAGTACTGGAATCACTAATGAAGCAGTTATCTTCTTCTGATGCCCTGTGTTGTGTGACCTGCCTAAGGACCCTGACACACTGTGAGAGACAGGATGCTGGACTAGAGGGACCCTTGGTCTGATCCACCAGGGCTCTTCTCATGTTCTTATGAAGGCAAGCGGGAGCTAAAGGTTTACGGATCCCCCGTCTTCAGGCTTCCTCTCACCGGCAGCGTGGACACTCATCGGACTGCATCCTTCTCCATGCTTGCAGAATTCCCTCCACTTAAAAAGCTGTCAAGTCAGGGAGAAAGGGTTTTTTCCGAGCCTTTAGGCAGCCGTGTTAGTTTTCTAGAGTTGGGCCGTTGGGACCCGTTCCCTGTCTTTGTTGCATTCTCTTCTCCTGCGAGATCTGTGCAGGGAGAATTTTGGGCAGAGCTCCCTCTCAGCCCCGACCCGTTTTTGTCCTGCAGGCCCGCGGGAAAGTGAGCGAGGTTGTCAACAATGCCATAGTGCATTACCGGGACGACCTGGACCTCCAGAACCTGATTGACTTCGGCCAGAAGGAGGTGGGTCGTGTGCTCGGTTAGTCCAGGGAGAAGAGCCAGGAGCCGCCCGGCAAGCTATTCGCCTTCTTCCTGACCTCTCCCTTCTTCAGAATTGACCCTGTTGCTCTAAGAATGTTGTATCTATTTTTTCTCTCGACTAAAACTATTCTCTGGGTCGTCCTTTGCCATATTCCCTTCTCTCCCATTGGCAGTTATCTAACCCCAGTTTGGTGTAGTGGTTAAATACGTGGACTCTAATCTGGGAGAACCGGGTTTGATCCCCCCACTCCTCCACATGCAGCGGCTGGAGGGACCTTGGGTCAGTCACAGTTCTCTCAGAGCTGTTCTCTCAAGAGCCGTTCTTGGAAGAGCTCTCTCAGCCCCACCTGCCTCCCAGGGTGTCTGTTGTGGGGAGGGGAAGGGAGAGGGGTTTTGTAAGCCACTCTGAGACTCCGAGTGAAGGGCGGGGTATAAATCCAATCTCTTCTTCTTCTTCCCTCTCAGTTCAGCTGCTGTGGAGGCGTCTCCTACAAAGACTGGTCCCAAAATATGTACTTCAACTGCACGGCCCACAACCCTAGCCGTGAACGCTGCTCTGTGCCTTACTCCTGCTGCCTGCAAGTTGAAGACCAGGTAGGAGAAGAGGAAGGGCTCCAGGAGGGGGGGGGGGTGTCAGAGCCCTTGGGCAGAGCCCTTTGTGCGGGGATTTCTCGGTGGTCCCCTGTCCTTTCTGGATGAAGAAGAAGAAGAGGAGGAGGAGAAATTGGATTTACCCCATGGGCCTTCCCTACCCAAAGGAGTCCCCGGAGCGGCTCCCCAAATAGCCTTTCCCTTCCCCTCCCCACAACAGACACCCTGTGGGGTAGGTGGGGCTGAGAGAGCTCTGACAGAAACTGCTCCTGAGAGAACAGCTCTGAAAGAACTGTGAATGACCCAAGGTCCCTCCAGCCGCTGCATGTGGAGGAGTGGGGGGATCAAACCACGGTTCTCCCAGATTAGAGTCCACGGGGCTGAGAGAGCTCTGACAGAAACGGCTCTTTTTCAAGAACAGCTCTTGTCAGAACTACGGCTTGCCCAAGGTCATCCAGCAGGTGCAAGTGGAGGAGTGGGGAATCAAACCCGGTTCTCCCAGATTAGAGTCCGCGCGCACTTAACCATGACTGTGGTGGGGGGGGGAAGGGAACGGAGTTTGTAAGCCGCTCTGAGATTCCTTTGGGTAGTGAAGGGCGGGATATAAATCCAATCTCCTCCTCCTCCTTCTTCTCTGACGGATATAGACATTCTAAAACAATGCAGACCAATGGGAGGTCTTGCAGTGAAGAAAATGCACCAACTAATGTGCAACCATGTATATACTGTTTCCCAGGTCAGATCTTGGTTTCCAAAACATCAAAGACAGCCATGCAAAAGGCAGGGGGCAGCCCTTAGAGAAGGCCGGCCTGTCCCCCATCTCCCCCCCAGCAGACGCTCCGTGACTCTCTTTTGGGTCCCAACCAGTGTTCCCTGTAAGCTGAGTCCGTGTGATCTAGCTCACAGCTTTTTAACCTCCGGCTCACACGTTTTTGCCTTGGCCCAGGAAGGGATGGCTCCCGAGCAAACAAATTCATGCAGCAGCCCGATCGCTAGCTCAGAACTTTCACGCCAGTATCTCACAAAGTAGAATTTTTGCTCACAAGACTCCACAGCTTAGAGGGGAGCACTGGTCCCAACCTCCAGGTTGGGAAACAGTGCCTTAAAGCATGCGGCTGCAAGGAGTGGTGCACGGCAGCCTGACCTTCAGTTGGCGTGTGCTCTGTTTCTGTCTTGCGCTTCCCGCAGTCGGTCATCAACACCCTGTGCGGTCAAGGCATGCAGGCCCTCAACTACCTGGAGGCGGGCGAGTTCATCTACACCAACGGCTGCATCGACAAGCTGGTGAACTGGATCCACAACAACCTCTTCCTGCTCGGCGGGGTGGCCCTGGGCTTGGCCATTCCCCAGGTAAATATCCTCCCGGGCGCACGTGATCTGGCACTTTGGATTCTGGGACTTACGGCCGCCTGCGGTCTGGAAAATCACAGGGGGAGGCCCTCCTGACTCTCCCATGAATCAAAGAAGCTTAGTGGGTGGAGACACAAATCAGGGCCGTTTTGGTCACGGAAATACCTTCCCTAGGAGGAAATACTTCTTCACTCCAAGAGTGATTGACACGTGGCGTTCACTGCCACAGGAAGTGGTGGTGGCTACATGCACAGACAGCTTCAAGAGGGGATGGGATGAACATATCGTACAGAGGTCCATCCGTGGCTATTAGCCACAAGGTCTAGATAGAAACATTCTGTCTGGGACAGTGATGCTCTGTCATCTTGGGGGGCCGCAGTGGGAGGTCTTCTGGAGTTCTGGCCCTGCTGGTGGACCTCCTGATGGTCCCTGGGTTTTGGCCACTGTGCGACACAGAGTGTTGGACTGGAGGGGCCATTGGCCTGATCCAACATGGCTTCTCTGATGTTCTTATGTCTGGGGCAGTGATGCTCTGTATTCTTGGTGCTTTGGGGGGCAACAGTGGGAGGTCTTCTGGATTTCTGGCCTCGCTGGTGGACTTCCTTATGGCACCTGGCTTTTCAACACTGTGTGACACAGAGTGTTGGACTGGATCGGCTATTAGCCAGATCCAAGATGGGCAGTGATGCTCTGTATTCCTGGTGCTTGGGGGGGGCAACAGTGGGAGGGCTTCTGGAGTTCTGGCCCCGCTGGTGGACCTCCTGATGGCACCTGGTATTTTTGGCCACTGTGTGACACAGAGACTGGATGGGCCACTGGCCTGATCCAACATGGCTTCTCTCATGTTCTTATGTTCTTAACAAGCTGGGGATCCCCGGTAAAATGCCATAAGCAATAAACAACTGTCACTGCTCTCATTTGTTAATTAACTTGCAGAGAGCTGACTGGGAGGGGAAATAATTCCAGCAGGATAGCCACATTAGGGCTGATTCACGCATCACAAAATACTTGAGGACTTTGGACCAGACATGCTTTGTGAGTTCTGGACTGGTCAGGCGCATGCGTCGCCAGTTCAGTTCAGGACCGTGGCGTGCATGGAGAAATCATAATTACATGCTTGTTTCCCACAGAGCAAGTAGCGGGTATAAATGAAAGAAACAAAGCAACCTGGTGTGGAATTCTGCTTAGAGGGTCAGACTAGGACCTGAGTTCGAATCCCTGCCCCTTCATGAACCTCCAAAGCTCAGAAACAGCTAGCCATGAAGCCAAAGGCAGAGGACAGGCTCTCCCGCTTTGTTTGTGTCTTTTTTGTTTGTTTGTTTCCAAATCTCTTTCTTTTATATATTTACTGAAGTTAGTAAAACTTATTCAAATAGCTAAAATCTTCTATAGTGGATCCTGGAAAAAGTTTCTATACAGTTCAAGTCAGAGCTTCTCCAAGGTTATAGTAATTATATTGGTTATTCGTGGTCCTCAAAGTTTCTTTCCACCCAGTTGTAAAGTGGTCTCCCGTTGTCTCTCGCTTTTTGTTTATCTCAGTATTCTGACAAGTTCGACAGTATATCCATTTCAGGCGTTTTAAAGATTTTCATCAGAAGTTCATTTTCTGTTGGTATCTCCAATTTCTTCCAGTAAGAGTGATTAACACATGAAGTTCACTGCCGCAGGAGGTGGTGGCAGCTACAAGCATGGACAGCTTCAAGAGGGAATTAGATAAGCATATGGAGCAGGGGTCCATCGGTGGCTATTAGCCACAAGGTATAGATAGGAGCTCTCAGGCTGGGGCAAGGGATGCTCTGTATTCTTGGTGCTTGAGGGGCCAACAGTGGGAGGGCTTCTAGTGTCCTGGCCCCACTGCTGGACCTCCTGAGGGCACCTGGTATTTTTGGCCACTGTGACAGAGTGTTGGACTGGATGGGCCACTGGCCTGATCCGAGACTGGCTTCTCTTATGTTCTTATAAGGAGCAGAGGTCCATCAGTGGCTATTAGCCACAAGGTATAGAGAGGAACTCTCAGGCTGGGGCAAGGGATACTCTGTCTTCTTGGTGCTTCTTGGGAGGGGCAACAGTGGGAGGGCTTCTAGTGTCCTGGCCCCATTGCTGGACCTTCTGATGGCCCCTGGAATTTTTGGCCACTGTGTGACAGAGTGCTGGACTAGATGGGCCATTGGCCTGACCCAACATGGGCTTCTCTTATGTTCCTATGTCTGGGGCGAGTGATGCTCTGTATTCTTGGTGCTTGGGGGCGGGGCAACAGTGGGAGGGCTCCTAGTGTCCTGGCCCCACTGCTGGACCTCCTGGTGGCACCTGGTATTTTTGGCCATTGTGTGACAAACAGAGTGTTGGACTGGATGGGCCACTGGCCTGATCCAACATTTGGCTTCTCTTACGTTCTTATGTACTTAGCATACAGAATCCTTGCTGCCGTAACTATATGTATAATTAGGTGCTTAACTTCCTTATCTTTTACATCAGGCATAATATTAAGTAAGAACATTTCGGGTTTGAATGGCCCCCCCCCAGCTGATAGGAATCCTGCTCTCCCAGGTCCTCGTCAACCAGATCCGAGACCAGATCAAGCTCCAGTTGTACAATCAGCAGCACCGAGCGGATCCCTGGTACTGACCGGACTTCGTCGCCAGGAATGTCTCGAATGCTGGGGGAGGCGGGCTTTCCAGGGCGCCTGGCCCTGTCGGCGGCAGGCTGCTCTTCGTCACACCGGATGGGGGAATAACAAGGTGAACTCGCCCGCCGGCCTCCCGACATACCATTTGCCATCTGTGGGTAAAAAAAAAAATGCTAAGATTCGAAAGCAGTGCCGCCTGGCTTCCCCGCACTACAGAGGAGCTGCTGCTTCCTGGTTACTTCCTGACATTGGTTACTTCCTGACATTGGGAAGGGGAGCTCCCTGGTTGCTTGCTCCCTGGATGCACCCTGTCCCACGAGACTGGAGCGAGGAGCCATTGGATTCTGGATTTTTTCCTGACGAGTGCCACTCTAATACTGACTGTTTTGGGCCCAGGGGATCTGCGTTCCCTTGTTCGGAAAGGGCCCAAAATGGCCGGAGAAAGCAAAGCCGAAAACAGCTCCTTGGGCTGGAAAGGAGTCGTGGAGCAGAGAGGTTCGACCCCGATCTAGCTTCGAGGTGCTTGGCGCCAACCGCCTTCTTGCCTGGAACCTGTTCTTCTGATTCTGGGACTGGAGGGGTCCCCCCAAAACTGGTAGTCGGCCGAGGCTGACAAAGGCCAGTATTGTTTCACCCAACGGTTGGCGGACTTGTGGAACTCCCTGCCACCAGATGTCAGGACGGCTGGCGGCTTACAGGGATTGAAAAGGGGGTCTGGGCGCAGTTGTGGAGGAGAGGGCTATCGGTGGTGAGCCGTGATCGCCAGAAGGGATTTCTGGGTTCACAGGAAGAAATCCCGTGATTATACAATGCTGGGGAGCCTTGTGGCTCACAGGCCCTGCCTGGCATCTGACTGCCCACGGCTGGGAACAGCATGCCAGTCTGATCCAACAGGGCTATTCGAACCCAGGCATCTGGTGCCAAAATCTCACACCTGATTTCATCTGACTTTCGCTGGCCCACAAAGGGTACTGAGGATCTGAGTGGGAGGGGGGGTACTGCCGTGGGGTTCCCCCAGCATCTTGCCCGTCAGCCATGGGGCTGCTAAGACCTGGCCACAGCGGCCCTGCCCCACCTACGCACCCCCGTCCCCAGGCAAGCAAGGGCCGCCCTTGCGAGGAGAAAGGGAAAGCGAGCACTTTTGTAGAGGGCAGACTCTGGCAGGAGGTGGCCAATGTTTCTTCTGCAGCTGCTCTGCCTGGAGGTATTGGCTGTCAGCACTATGCTTTAGTGGAACGTCCATGTTCAGGCGCAGTATATCTGGTTTCTGGGACCAAACAGGAAGAGGCCTGCAAATCTGGCCCTGTTGTTTTCGGGGGGGGGGGGAGGTTGCTGCTGCAAGCAGGAGGCAGGACTTGGCGGCCCCCGGGTGGGTCTGTCCCCTCAGGGCTGGAAAGTGAAGCACCATCAGCCAAGAAGAAGGAAGTTGAAGGACCATCAGCCAGGAATGGCATCAGCCAAGAAGAAGAAGAGATGGTTTTTACATCTTGCTTTTCTCTATCCAGAGGAGTCTCAAAGCGGCTTACGATCGTCTTCCCTTCCTCTCCCCAAACAGGCACCTTGTGAGGGGTGGGGGGTGCTGAGAGAGTTTGGAGAGGACTGTGACTGGCCCAAGGTCACCCAGCAAGGCTCCACATGGGGGAGGAGTGGGGAATTGAACCCAGCACTCCAGATTAGAGTCCCCGCCGCTCTTAAGCACAACACCACGCAGTCTCCACCACGCTTGGCCTGGCAGGGCCAGTGTGATGTCATGGTTAAGAACGGCAGACTCTAATCTGGAGAACCGGGTTTGATTCCCCACTCCTCCTCCACTTGCAGCCAGATGGGTGACCTTGGGCCAGTCACAAGTTCTCGCCAAACTCACCCAGCCCCGCCTATTTATTTATTTATTTAGAATTTCTACCTCGCCCTCCCAACCAAAAAGGCTTAGGGCGGCTTACATAAAAACAGACATCAGTTACTTTAAAATATAAGTTACAATTAAAACAATTCTAAAACCGACATACCTGTGGGACCGCCTTTCCCCATGTATACCCCAGGGAGCACTTTGGTCAGGGTCACAAAACCGATTGGCCCTTTCAGGTGCCAAGGACGCCAGGCTGGCTGCAACCAGGGCCAGGGCTTTCTCGGTGGCGGCTCCACACTGGTGGAATGGGCTCCTGGAGGAGATCAGGGCCCCGCGGGACCTTTTGCAATTCCACAGGGCCTGCAAGACGGAGCTCTTCCACCCAGCTCTCCACTGGGAGCTGCCACCACTACCATCATTAGCAACCCCTGAAGCCTGGTGCCTGGCCTATCACTGATAGCCTGTGCTCACCGACCGAAACTTGAGAATGACCGACAAGCCGGTATCAAGTGAAATTACAGAACGTATGAGGCCATCTTTGATATCCTAAGTCAACTGCCAGCACTTTGATATATTGTAAGTTGGTTTTAATGAATTGTTTAATGAACTGTTCGGACTGTTTTTAGATGTATGATATTTATTGTTGTTGTGCTTTTCTTCTGTGAGCCGCCCTGAGCCTGCTGTGGTGGGGAGGGCGGGGTACAAATTTAAATAAACAAATAAAACCATAATAAAGTGCTAGTCGTTGTCCGTTTGATGGTAGCAGCCCTTATTCGGTGTTCTTCGCTCGCAGTGTTAATTTTTTATTGTCCTTGCAGTGGTTGATGTCCTTTAGGCCGTTGGTGGCAGTTTCCGGGGTCCAGGGCCCTCTCCCATTCAACCATCCGTTTTTCATCATTGGTGGTAGTGGCAGCTCCCGAAAGCCTGGTGGAAGAGCTCCGTCTCGCAGGCCCTGCGGAACTGTAAAAGGTCCCGCAGGGCCCTCATCTCCTCCATGAGCTCATTCCATCAGGATTGGGGCCGCCACCCTGGTCCTGGTTATCGACAGCCTGGCCTCCTTAGGACCTGGAAGGGCCAGTTGGTTCTGAGCCCCCAATTGCAGTGCTGTCTGGGGGACATGTGGGGAAAGGCAGTCTCTGAGGTATGTAGCTCCCTGACTATACAGGGCAAGGGTGTCGAACTCTTGTTATGAGGGCCAGATCTGACATAAATGAGACCTTGTTGGGCCGGGCCACGTGTGTCATAAAATGTAATGCCAGGTAACAGAGTTATAAATTTTATAAAGGACACAAACACAAAGATTTTTTTTTTACTCAAGATTAAAACATGCTTAACACATTAGCTCTGTAAGCCACAAACCTACTATTGACATTCACCACAGAAATTTCATGCTCAAGAGTTCTGAGTTTAGGAGAGTCTGGCAAAGCAAGCTATGATGCAGCAGCAGAACTGGAAGCGGGAAATGGCCAGTTCCACTGCGGGCCTGATCCGGCCCCCGAGCCACATGTTTGACACCCTTGATACAGGGCTTTAAAGGTAAGAACCAGCACGTTGAAACGAATCCACCGGCAGCCAGTGCAGTGCCTTTAGCACAGGCTGTATGTGCTCCTGTCTAGAGAGCCCCATCAGAAGCCTGGCGTTTTGCGCCAGCCACAGTTTCTGGATTTGAAACAAGGGCAGCCCCATGTAGAGAGCATTACAGTAGTCCAGAGGTGACCATCGCGTAGATCTCTGTCGCCAGGTTGTTTTGTTTGAGCCTACCTCACAGGGTGTCTGTTGTGGGGAAAGGAAGGAGAGTGTAAGCCGCTCTGAGACTCCACCGGGGTATAAAAACCAACTCCTCCTCCAGAACACGTTGGCTGGAAGTAGTTCCCCCCCTGGGGCAAAGCACTGAGGGCTACCCCAAAGGCTGTTTGGACTTGTGGCCACAGTAGCTGAGGGCCAGCAGAAGGAAGTGGAAGGGGAGAAGAGATTATACTACCTTTGCCGCCATCAGCCAATATATGCCCAAGGACAGACCCACAGGAACCTGCCTTCTACTGAATCAGACCCACCCGTCCATCAAAGTCGGTCTTGTCTACTCTGGCCGGCAGCTGCTCTCCAGGGTCAACAGCAACAACAATTTTATTTTACAGTCCATGACCAGCATACACAAAGGTTTACATAAGATCAAATTTCGCAACTTTAAAAATTTCACTCAAGCGACCGTGTGCGTTTTCCGACCTTTGTATACCTGTGTACAAAATTTAGCCACTGTTCGGGTGGTTTCGTGGTTCGTACCGGACAGAAGAGAATCAAGTTTAATTTTGTTTGATCTGCTGGGGAAATTTCCGATCAGTGGGCTCAATAAATTTTGACCGGATTTCTTTGTAGCTAGGGCAGTTAAAGGAAATTCGTTCCATTGAACCAGTTTCCTTTAAAGAACAAGAACAGAGCCTATGCATACAGGGGACTGATTTAAACCTCCCTTCCAGAACAGTGGAAGGTAGAGTTGAACTTCTTGTCAATGTAAAGGCTCTTCAGGGTCTTTCACATCACCTTCCGCCTGGTCCTTTTTAACTGGAGATGCTGCCAGGGATTGAACCCGGGACCTTCTGCATGCCAAGCAGAGGCTCTGCCACTGAGCCACAGTCCCTCTTCACAGCTCTCCAGGGTCTCGGGCAGAGGTCTTTCTCATCACCTCCTGCCTGGTCCTTTTTAACTGGAGATGCTGGGGATTGAACCTGGGACCTTCCGCATGCCAAGCAGAGGCTCTGCCACTGAGCCACGGCCCCTCTTTACAGCTCTCCAGAGTCTCAGGCAGAGGTCTTTCCCATCACCTCCTGCCTGGTCCTTTTTAACTGGGGATGCCGGGGATTGAACCTGGGACCTTCCGCATGTCATGTTCCAGGCTGCTGAATAGAGCCGGCCCACCCCAAGGGAGAGGTCCAGGCACACAGTGACCCGATGGAGGTTCCTCAGGCAGAAGTGGTGTGTGGCATTTCCGTAGCCGTAAACCTGGGGCCCAGGCCATGGCACACATCATGGAACATTCTGGCTAGATCAGGGTGACCAGTTCACGCGCCCAACGGCATGAAGTGGGCAGCAAAGCCTCTGTATCGTATTGGCTGCTATTAAAATATGTTTCCATGTTGATAACGAGAGATTCTATCGTGTTTCCAATATTGGGGGTGAATAGACAGGTATTGGCTCACCTGGAGGCTTAGGAAGGGCAGCTCACCAGGCAGGGAAGCCGAGTCGCAGGTTCGGATCGGCCACGTGCCTGCCGCTGGACATGGTAAATCACATTCAGCCGCTGAACGCTGCAGGTGGGTTAGAGAAATGAGACTGGATTGCCACCACCATTTGGTCATTTGCCTAAAGCAGAGATGTCGAACTCATTTGTTATGAGGGCTGGATATTATATTATATTATAGCATTGGGAAAAGTGCAGAAAAGGGCAACTGAATGATAAGAGGGTTGGAACACTTTCCCTGTGAAGAAAGGTTAAAACGCTTGGGGCTCTTTAGCTTGGAGAAACGACGGCTGAGGGGTGACATGATCAAGGTATACAAGATTATGCATGGGATAGAGCAGGTAGAGAAAGAGGTACTTTTCTCCCTTTCTCACAGTAGAAGTACTCTGTGGGCACTCCATGAAATTGCCTAGCAGTTGGGTTAGAACAGATAAAAGGAAGTACTTCTTCACCCAAAGAGTGATGAACACATGAAATTAACTGCCGCAGGAGGAGGTGGTGGCTAGAAGCATAACGGCTTCAAGAGGGAATTGGATAAACATCTGGAGCAGAGGTCCATCAGTGGCTATTAGCCACAAGGTCTATTAGTGGCTATTAGCCACAAGGGGCTCTGGGGCAAGTGATGCTCTGTCTTCTTGGTGCTTGGGGGGGGGTCAACAGTGGGAGGGCTTCTAATGTCCTGACCCCACTGGTGGACCTCCTGATGGCCCCTGGTATTTCTGGCCACTGTGTGACACAGAGTGTTGGACGGGATGGGCCTTTGGCCTGATCCAACATTGGCGTCTCTTATGTTATGTTATGTTCTAAGGTCTAGATAGGAACTCTCAGTCTGGGGCAAGTGACGCTCTGTATTCTTGGTGCTTGGAGGGGCCAACAGTGGGAGGGCTTCTAGTGTCCTGGCCCCACTGCTGGACCTCCTGATGGCACCTAGTATTTTTGGCCACTGTGTGACAAGAGTGTTGGACTGGATGGGCCATTGGCCTTTCATAGAATCATAGAATGTTAGAGTTGGAAGGGACCTTGCAGGTCATCTAGTCCAACCCCCTTCACTCTGCAGGAGCATAACCGAAAGAGAGCCCCACAACATACCTGAAAGATGGTTGTCCAGCCTCCACTTGAAAACATCCAGCGAAGGAGCATCCACCACCTCCCGAGGCAGTCCATTCCACTGCTCAACCACTCTGACAGTTAGGAAGTTTCTCCTGATATTTAGCCGGTATCAACTCCCTTGTAATTCCCACCCATTAGATCTAGTCTCGCAATCCGGAGCAAGGGAGAATAGATCCACTCCATCTTCTACGTGACAGTCCTTCAGATACTTGAAGACTGCAATCATGTCCCCTCTAAGCCTTCTCTTTCCCAGGCTAAACATACCTGATCCAACATTGGCTTCTCTTATGT